GCCATCCAATTACAAGCAACTCTTAATACCATGCGCGATGATCGAGCAGTCGTATCGAACAACTGAATAACTTGGAAAGTGTAGAAAGTTTTAGAAATTTAGATATTTACGGAGAGAGAGAGTGAAGCTCGTAAGAAACAAACCAATTTATGAATCAACGATGACGACGGCGATGATGTACGCTGCAGGATTATCTAACGACAGAATTTCAATCTTTTGTTCAAGTACAATATCGATTCAATTTTCAAACTCGGCTTTTCTCGAAAAAACTTGTACTCTTTCTTTCTGATTCATTTTTTCATACAGTATCACCTTGTGCCTCTGTTCTATTTATCATCGAGCAGTCAGATTGGAATTCGTCGCAAAAGTCAATCCCTTTACAGATTCGAGAGCGGGTTTACGAAACTGTCGCGACACCGACAGACATCCCTCTAACCCTTTGGTGTGCCTGGCAAAAATATTCCGCTCGTCATTCCTTCCGCGTTCGTTTTTCGTATACGAAAGAAAAAAAAGAAAGAATTGGGAATAACGGGCACGGCTTACCGTCGAAATCCCCGCGTTCCCGTGACCACGCTGCCATATTTTATCGAGGCGAGGATTAAGACAGACGTGCAACGCGACCGTGCGCGGACGTTTACCTCGCGCCAACTAAAAGTTACGTTTTATCGATAGCGCGTTGTCGTCGCCAACCTATACCCTATACGCGAGCTGTTCAGCCTCCGCTCGACAGCCAGACTCTGGCTGATCCAAACGTACGATCGTTTTCCTCTTTGAGCATCGTCTTTTCGTTCCCCGTCTTCTCCGTTTCCTCACCAACCGAGAAAAGGAAACCGCGTATTGTTCGTACACGACTCGATGACGCGAGAATCGAATTTTATTTCGCGATCGTTTGGATTCTTTTTCTCCCCTGTAGGAAACGACAGCACGTTCTCCATTTGAGAGTTTCTCGCGAGAGAATTCTCCATTTTTCTTTCTCAAATAATTGAGCGATGCTCTCGGACAGTAACTCTCGGCAGCAGTATCCATTTGCGAGAAATACTCTCGAGAGCAAATACTCGCGACAGTTTTACTCTCAAATGGAGAAGTACCTTTGGACTACGAAGTAGACTGTGGATTTAAAAAGCTGCAAAAAATATACAGAAAATATACGCGCGGTACTCTTGGAAAATAACAGGGCCCTAAGCTAATTTACGACTGGGTCACTTGAGGTACGATGGGTTGTAGACACTGCAGACGAGATGATGTCACACAGAGGCGAGGTGATGCTTTTCCCGTGACAATGTTTGCTAGGCTATGGACACACAAAAGGAAAGGAAAGCACGACGAGAGCGAACGTCGAAGGGAAATTGAACGGAGAATGGATTCGACAGTTGTGGAGAATTCAGTGCAGAATAGAGTGGCATACCATAATGTAGTAGAGAATAAGCATTTTAGCTTCTAGCTTCAATTTTCGTATTTAATTAAACCGTTCCCCCCTGTTGTGCTGACTTCGATTGCATGGATCTTTCAATTCCGCGGTATAATATGCAAAGATGTATGAAATATTGAAATATTAGAGTCCGAGATTCAGTTATACCTTCGCAAGAATTATGTTTATAAGAATTATACCCTGTTTTCATAATCAACCACATTCAATCAGTGAAATTATGCAATTTCATTATGCCATTCGCGTCGTTATGCGATATTCAATTATTCATAAAACAAGCGAGCGAACAGAAATCACATTCACGTGATACTTCGTTAACCCGCTGCGTAACAACGCGAGCAGTTCCCGGAACTGCTGAGCACCAAAGAATAGGGATCTCTCGGATTTCCTCTGCTAACCCGGCAATTTCGCGATGTAGCAGCAACCTCTGCACGGTGTATTACCACGTTCCGTGCCGAGCCGATTTTTGATTACTTTTCGTTTAAGCCGCGTAATGATATTGCAATTAATAATTTTGCTTCTTGCAATTTTTATAATAGCGCAAAAGAAAAGTGTCCAGAGTTTGAGATGCATTACGGGACAAAGCAATAAATTTCATTTTACCACTATTTTAACAGACACTTTTTTAATGACGTCAAAATTAATTTAATTTGATTAATAAAAGATTTTCTTCCAAATATTTTTAGTATTACTGTTTATGTACTAAGCAATAATAAATAATAATTTATTACATAAATTATATAATACTAAGTACTAATAAATAATATTAACTTTAACGTTATTTTGATAACAAATACTATACACTCCACGACAGGATAAACGCGGTATACGTATTATTAAGATGTCAATACACGACTTCATAATAAATTTTCGAAAAAAATTCGTTCATAAGTCCCACGTGACACGAAACGTATTAAAAAAGATTTCGTTCCGTCTCTCGCGAAACAACAAAACTATACAAGACACTATCACTATACTCGTGCAATGGAATTCGACGCGATACGAAAATCCCAATAACCGTTCGTACTTCGATGATGGCTAAACCTCTTTTCCGACTAGATAAAACGGTGCAGGTAAAAATGGCGGAAAATAAGCGGAGAGAGTGATACGAGCGAACGATAGACGAAGCGCGAAATGTTTTAATCGACTCTATCTCAGTGGATGTAGAAACCCAACCGGGGCAGGGCACGATGGCAAGGAAGGAAGGAGACGATTGGCCGCCGTTTGTGAAACGAAAAGTGGACCGTCGGGCGCGAGACCGTGGCCGAAAACTCCATTAAACGTTTGGCGGTCCATCGGTTTGCAATTATCGACGGATCGGTGGCACATGGAGCGTACAGGATAGGGACCAGATATTGCAGTTGCCAACTTTTTCCTTCGTCGCCTCCTGGCAAAAAACTATGGCGTAGAACACCGAAGGAATTCCTCGGCGGCGTGGTTCTACCTCCACCTCCACCACGGAGAATCGCATCGTCGGTGCTCTTTTTCTTTCGAGATCTTGTTTGAGTTTGGGTTTAATGAAAAGCACGGCGAGAGCAAGCTCGCTTTGTAATTCCCCTTGAAAAAAAAAAAAAAGAACAAAAATAAGAGAAAACGGTCGAGACGACGAATCCCCGAGATCTTTCTGCATCTTTTACGTTCATAAAGCGAGGCAGAGTTGTTCAAGAAGGATATTAGAATCAAGCTGTATCTTGCCGGCAATTTTCGAATTGATCTACTTTTGGAAACGGAGTGTTTCCACGCCAGGACTATCGACGACTAAAGCATAAAATTTCCGTCAGAGTCGTTAAAGTAAAAAGAGACAGAAGACGTTTATAATACAATGGGGGGTACGCAAGGTTTTTATTTATGTATTTTACGAAGAATCATTCAAGCCTCTAAAAATACACTGTTCTACATCTATGAAATATCCAAACGTAAATTATCAGTTGGTCATTTTCACCATTTTAGCGTATTTTTTCTCTAGGGACGTAGAAATTCGTTCAAGATATCGATAACTACATACGTGTAGTCCTTTATTTTTGAGAATTGTTTTATTGTTTACTTTTACACGATCCCCTCGGCAGCGACAAATGATCGACTGCGCTTTTGAGAAAACATCTCACAATTTCGTTGAGCCAGGTTAACGTACAGTTTTCAAAAAATAAACGACTGCCTTCCAACGTGAGTTGATTCGCCATGAAAAACGTGCCTCGCAGCGCACAACAAGTTCGATTATTTCGATCTTCAAAAATTGAAGATTGAATTGTAAAATGTGGTGGCAGAGGTAACTTCAAAAATAAATCCTGCCTCCCTATAAATCGCAGAAACGCTGACGGTACTCGTTTTCAACGAAATTACGACGTGTATAATTTTTCTGACAGGTCTCTCTCTCTCTCTCTCTCTCTTTCTCTCTTTGTATTCCTGTATCCATAAACTCTCGCGTGAAAAGCTGATCGATCTCTATCGGTGTCCGGGACAGAGCCGAATTATTCTGACGGGTAGGACGCGGACCCTTTCATTCGCGCGTCAACCTCGCTGGATAAACGACCGATACGTCATAATCTGTCGAAGAATTTCGGGAATAAACGAACGAGGACGATACGAGCGAACAGTAGCTCGATAATGTGAAGCGAGCCGATAAAAACGGGCTGTCGGCCACCTACCAATTTTTTTACATCCCACGCGAAGTTCTTTCGTCCAGTCCTCCGACTAGCAGCAAAAAGAAAAACAAAGGCCCAATTGAAAAAAAAAAAAAATATACTACCAAGTTATAATCTCAAGGATCATAACGGGCCATACGAAACTCACTCACCATTATTTTCTCTACAAACAAGATCCTCCAACTCGTAATTTGTGCAAAGTTTAACATCGACAATGGAACATATTATTGTCCAGTGCAAGGAAACATCTCGAATCATTCCCTGACTCACAATCTAAAGGATAAAGAAGCGATCGTAAAATTGATACACTTTCCAAAACAGTCAGATAAATTGTACGATTTAATTCCAAGTCGCTAATAACCGACACAAGTGTTTGATGCGACTATAAAATAGAAGTGGCAATAAAAAGAAAGAGGAAATACGAGGTATTTCGCTGGAGATGCTTCCACGGGCTCCAACAACAGCAGTTTTTACTGCAGCGTTACTTGAGACAGTGTAAGCGGAGAGAGGTAATTACGCGATATTCTTGCGACATAAAAAATAATTAGCACCGGCGCAGCGCAGAGGTGGAAAGAAGGAGGAAGAAGAAAACGGAACGTATATCCCTAACCAAAACACGTCCGCGCGCGGAGATCGGCCGGATCCCTCCTGGATCCTCGAGATCCTTTCGATCCATTCTCTTTCTCTAGCCAAGGTTCGTGTCGTTGAACTCGACCACGACCCCGCGCAATGATTTTATTCGCCGCCGCGCTGCCCCGTGCATTCCTTTCCCGAGGAAAGTCATTCCACGAGAAAACACGTACCCAACACGGATCTAATAGCCAAACGGGAAGATTTGCGACACGCTGTCCAACTGACTAACTAACTAACTAACTAACTAACTGAATGATTCTCAGACTGAATTAAACGTAGTTTTATTGAAGCGACAATATCCGCTCACTGGCTCTTATTCAGAAACTAAAGACGATTGCGAAGACGTTATAAGCACGAGTTTGACGATAAATTATTAAATTCGTTAAGAAATAAAAACGATCGTAGAGAGATACACGGAAATACACTAGGGTTAATGCTTCGTCAAAAGTGCAGAGACTGCGAGAAAATGAAAATAAAAGAAAGAGACCTTACGACATTAGAGACACGAATTTTAGAGAAGCAGTTGTAGACAAAAGTTAGAGAAGAGAGAAAGAGAAGTAAGCGCAAAAAACGGGAAAATCCACTGCAGCTTTCTCGACAAACACGCGATGTCGTACATGCAGGTCGATCCTCGCTGAAAGATTAAAAACAAGCAGCATGCGCGGCCGCGAGAGAGAAAGAGAGGAAGAGAGTATCGGTTGACCGTGTGACTTCCATAATGGGAGGTAATTTAGTCTCAATGGGATCACCGTATCGATCTCAACGCGGAGCAACAAGGCGAAGATTCAAGCTTTCATAGAAGCTGTCACCGTAAGACTGTATGATTAATCGAGGCCGGCTCCTCTCCCATCGCCCGGGACGTTCTCGTACGCGTTAAGCCCCCGCGAAGATTACGGTTCGCCTCTCTTCCAGTCGCCTCGTCGACGGGAATCCAATTTATCGCTTTGTACAGGATGACTGTACGTGGTGAATAGCGCGTACGAAAAGAGACGCATCCTTTCGAGCGAGAGAAAAATATCGTGCTTCAAAGGGACGCTTCCCCTCCACTGCCGATGAAACTAAATGAATGAAATCGTGGAAAAATAACACGGCGAGTACGTTTCTGTATGATTTTTCCGACCTCAGTGTCGCATCGACAGGAGGATTCTAGGTTTTTTTTAATCTTTTCGAAACAGAGCTCGACAAAGTTTTTCGCGAGAGTCAAACGTAAATCGAGCAAAAACTATCTCGAAAGCTAGAAAAGTTACAAAAACCAGATGCACGAACAAATTTTGGTTTTCCTAAAAAGTGGGAAATGTAACGATATAGCCCATATAGTCAAACACAGACCGGAATCTTTCTCCCGTAAAATGGAATCGCCGACGAATTAGCGAGCAAACAGGCAAACAAATCGCATCACGGAGGTTGAATTCGTTAATTGACCATCGAATTAGCACGGCACGACGACGGCGGTCGACAAAATAAATAATTCATTTTCGAGGGTGGCCTCCTCCTCCTCTTCCCCTGTCGCGGCCGCGATATCCCGACGATTCGCCAGCGAGCGCAAAATTTCGATTTGTCGTTCTGATTGTTGTTATTGTTCCGGGCCCTGGGGAACCGTGTCACCGTGCGAGGCGTTTAATGACACGCTGATTATCAGGATGGCGCCGCGCGCAATTAACGTGACACTTGCTCCGGTGAAATCGATTCGCTTTAACGCGTCGGTTGCAATTCGACGCTGCGGTTCGGTCCACGGAGCCGACCGACTGTCACGGAGGATCGTGTGTTTCGCGAAACCGAAATGCCCCGGATATCGAATTTCGCAAGCCTCCCTTTTCGTTTCGGAAGAGTTCTAATCCATCCATTTCTTACGATCAGTGAATCAAGCGAACCTTCGATCCCGGAGAGCTTGACATCGAAATTTATTCTACCGGAAACACCTAATGTTCCTATAATGGAAGCGTATCGCCGTCAGTATTCGTTAGCCGTAAGCAAAACCTCGAGAGACGAGAAGTAAAATTTGGTAAAACAACGTGAAATTGTTGGCAATTGTCGACCGATGAACAAATTCATTGTCGTGTCTGGACGGGCGCAAAGATGGTTTAAATGATAATGGACAGAATGTAGGAGTTCCGAGATCCATTAGAGTAACGACTCGAGAATCATTAACGAGACTATTAACCAGACCGTTTGCACGGGAAACGTTGTAAATTACTCGAGCAAAGTATTTTCCGTGTTTCTCATCGGCCTTGGTAAAATGTCCACCGTAAATAAATAGCTACAGCTGTGCTAGAAAATGCTAGAAAAGATCATAAGCCAGATTAAACCTGTCGCTTGAATTCCAAACGAGAGGACGAAGTGTTTCGCCAAAGTTCACGACGTTGTCGTAGTCAATAGCTAACAAGGTCGAAATTGATTGAAATTACGGAAGACAGGCTTGATTACTAGGTTCGTGATATAAAAAAACAGCAAGTATTTCGATTGCCGACGATATTATTCCGAACGTGAAGTACACGAACACAAAGCGTGCATAAACGTTAACTTGGTAACTTTGTCAATTTCGTCGTTTCAATTGAGGATCGCTGTACAACAACCCACAAACGGTGAACAAATCCGTCCATCGATGGAAATTGTTCCCGTCGTACTTTCGGCAACGATGTCGACACACCGTGGTCGACTCTGCGATTAGGAGCGTTTCCTGCGGCAAATTACTTTGGTTTTATCCCCGAGAACGCGCTCGTTTGGTACGCTGTCGCTTACCAAAACGTGCAAACAACAACAGGTCCGTTTTCGATCGTTACGTTCGCGATTACTATTGCGGAAGAAAACGTAACTTTGTGGGGAGCACATATGATCGGGGAGAAATTGAAGCAATTCGGTCTTTATTGACCCTGGAATATTGACAATGTTGACAAGGGACAGAAAGAGAGATCTCGCTGACGCATGGAACGTGGTGAATCGTCGTAGCTTCGATAAGAATCTTGGGTAGAGCTCCTGTGCCAGCTATTCGTTCCACCTGGCACACGGCGAATGGCCGAGATATTTCAGGCATCTACGACTCTATGAAACCACGGTAGGGAGGAACGAATCGGAGCCACCAAAAATCGAGGTTTCAATTAGCTCTCGGTTGATTGCAGGTCAGCAGGACGCGGTCCTCTCCAGCGCTGCGCCGAGCGGACAGCATAATTTGCTAATTAAAATTTATCACCTCTCGTGTAACCCGGTCGCGCTGCTTGTATCGATTTCGTCCTAACTGTCCCTCCATTAGGCCTCTGTTGCACGAGCGTACGTCGAATCTTCCGCCGTACTATATTCTCTCTCTCTCTCTCTCTCTCTCTCTCTCTCTCTCTCTCTTCACGTGGAATTTCAATTCTCTCGCCACGGTCTTAGAGAACCGAGACACGTCGCGCGTCTTCTATCACAAGTACAACTTCAGTTTCCAAGTTGAACTCCAAGTTGTATCTCCTCGCCTTCCAAAAGCAAGGCGAACGATGCGGACGCAATTGCGCTCGCCGCTGCGCTTTTGAGACGGTCGACATTTTCACGTAGTCGCACGCAAGAACGCGCGAACACGGAATTCCGTTCTCGTGGAAAATACGAATATCCGGGAATCCTGCGAAAGTTTGTTAACCTGCCTGTGTTTCAAAGAATACTCTGTCAGGTAGCTGTGACTAATAGCTAGCTGCTCACGAGTGCACGCGGTTCGCTGAAACGCTCTCTGTCCCGACTTTTCTCTCGTTTCTCTCCGCGCGCCAGTGCATCGAAAGCCCAGCTACAATACGAAATAGGTCATTCCGCCCCCTGAGACCCTCACGAAAGGCCTGAGATCTCGCGACTCTCTCTCTAGTGGCGTGGACCAGAGAAGAGTTTTCTAGGCTCTTCCGAAGCCTCTCGACACGCGATTCTTCCCCCTCTTCGCCAGATTCCTCTTTCGAATCCGTTCATCTTTCTCACAGGCAGTTTCTTTTGTGTGTATGAACCCCTTCCTTCCCGGGATTCGACTGCCACTACTTTTGCTCTTTATCCGTTTGGCGCGAGAAAGAAGGAGGACAGGTTCTTCCTCAGGCTCGGTGGTTGTTGCGCGATCTTTGCATTCCCCGACGAACACGCGACGAGAAGAGATTCTAGAGGACGATCGGGAGATCGCCGAACCGAGATGAGACGAGACAAAGCGAGAGCAAGAGAGAAAGAGGTAGGAGGATAAGGAACGAAGAGAAGAGGATTCTATCTCGGTTCCGGACACTGGCGTTCCACCAGCATTTCATTCCAGGTCGGGAACACGCGGGTCAGAAGACGAGAATGTTGTCACCGAGTTCATTAACACGTTCCGCGCTCAACGATACGTACCTTCCTCGCTGGCGACGCGTTTCGTCGCGCGAAAATACGTACAACCGGACAAACAGGAGGAATGCTGTTCAACGAACGCTAAAGGACATAAAACTGGAGCAAAAAGGAGGTCTTTGAATTTGAAGCCTCGAAGGGTTCGAAGGGTTCCGAGGAAATTCGCATTGATTCGTGTGTAAATCGTTTCTCGATTCTCGATCGCAATTCTCACCGCAAGCCCATTACTTGGGAATTCTTGGCGCAACCGCCACTTTCGCCAAGCTCGATCGACGCAACACCCAACTCCGAACCGATTCCCCTAAAATTCCTGCACGCTAACGGCGGCATTTCAGCGGCATCGGACCGTCCGATGCGTCGTAACGGGAGGAGGAGACACAGTTTCGAGCACCGAAGTCCGAGGTGTATCGTGGAGATTGTAGAGCAGCGAAAGACAGGCGCGAGGAATTGTCATAAGCCTATTTGAGAGTTTCTCGCGAGTACTCTCAAGTGTCTTGTCCATTTAAAAGCAGCTTTGAGAATTTTCACTCTCCGAGAGCTTACTATCCGATAGAACTCTCAAAACCGTGTCCATTTGAGAGTTCATTGTCTCTGGTCCTACTCACTATGGTGTAGTTTAGTTCGAAACACGAAAGTGACATCGCTATCATGGAGGTACAAAAAAATATGTGCCCTCATAGTTGCCCATAACAAAAGAAAAATTATCATAAAAAGAAGAGTTCAATAATTTAAATAATTATATAATAACTATATTATATAATATTTATATTTATATATTTAAATTATTATATAATAATTATATTAATAATATTAATTATATAATATAATTATTATATAATAATTTAAATTTAAAAAAAGCCGTATAATATTGTGTCCATTTGCGGCACGCCGACTCTCGGACAGTAACTCTCAGAATAGTATCCACTTGCGAGAAATACTCTCGAGAGCAACTCGCGACAATTTTACTCTCCAGCGGACACGTAGCTGTATACGAGCGAACGCTCGGCAGACACACGGCTCGAGGAGTTCGAAAGTAAAACAGAACAAAAGAACGCGGGTGTAGTGTGGTGTGACGCGGTGTGACGCGGTGTGACGCGGTGTCCGCTGCGTGCGGCTAATAGCTTCTTTCATCGGGGCTATCAGACGAAGCGCAAACGCGACTACTCGAGTACGATCGAACCTCACCTCGGTACACCCCGATAGAAACGTCAACGTCAGCCACACATTCGCGAAATGTGATAATTCCACGATACGGCAATCCCCTATAGAGAGGAGTCGCACAGGTATCGTGGCTGGAAATGGGCGTTGCGATGCGTATATGCATGGATATTAGTCCCCGGTAGACACTGGATGGTTCTCTCGCTCATAAACCGACTTTGAGGTGCAAATGCCGAATCTGCTTGAATCGCAGATTCGAGCAGATTCGCAGACGGTTCCCTGGAGTTCCGATCACCTCGGAGAATTACGTTGCCTTCTCTCGCTGCGAAATCTGCGAATATTCCAACTCCTCCCTCCTTTTCCTTCTACGCTTTCCCTGTCGTAAAATTTTCTTTTAAAGATCCCCTTAACGTCGAGGCATTAGACCGATCACTAATGCTCACCGCAAAGCCAAACACACAAACGCGAACGTGGCCGAATGGTTACCCTCGAGTGGCCGATAGAAAGAAAAGTGCAAAAGTGCTCTCTAACCGAGGTACTTTCGAGACTCACTTTCTTGTAGATCCACTTGATGCTCCGGCTGAACTTTGCCATCGGCGAGTCGTCCACGAGGAAGTACTTGACGGCAGTGCTCGCTTGGTCCTCGAGCCTTTGCTCGGAATCGCCTCTGGGAATCGCTGGCTCCTCCTCGTAACGTTCCTCATTATCGTCGCTGTCGATCCCAGGCTCCGAGTATTCCGTAATCGTCGACAACCTCTTCGAGCAACTGTCGCCCGTTGAAACGACACGCTCCATCTTCTCGAGCCCGTTCGCTCTTCGAGAAGTCGAGTCGCACACGCCGCGAGCTGCTCGCAAAACGAGAGTCACAATCCTCGCATGGTTAACCGAGCATAGGCCGCAAATTGCCGGATCCGATCTGGTTCGGTCGCGATTAGGGTCAACATTCGAAACGGTCGGTTAAATATTTTCGAGTCGAATCCCACGCGCAGCTACGTATCGCTGGAATTACTCGCTCCTCGAATAGGAAACCCGACAGGAACGAAAATACAAAGTTACCAGTGGCTCACGTAAATGTTCGAACAATGTCTTGTGCAATTGTATTTTCGAATTCTATCGATGCGTTGACAATATTGGCTCACAATCAGTGCTAACACCTGCAAACAACACTTATTTATATACGCTCGTTTCTCCCTCTCTTCGATTTGTCATAAGCAATATAAATAATATAAAGAAGACGCGCTGAGAAGAGAGGAACCAACCTAGAGACATTGCAACGTCATCCTTAACCACGAAGAATAAACTCTCTTAAAATTGCAAGTGTCGTTCCTTTACACGGAATCCAACAAATGTAATCGCGATTATCGCGTTTGCCACGACTATATTACAAATGAAAAACAAAAAAAAAAAGTAGATACACTGTGAAACGCAAAACTACTATCTGCAACGCCCACTGCTGATTAGACAAACGATGAATGAACGATTCGTCAAAAAAAACCTGATTAAATCTTCCGTGAAATCGACGGAGGTGATCCGACAACATTCGGTCAGCGTTTAACGACGTGCCCAATTCGCGCCGTGATATAAAAGGGAAACTTGAATCCTCTGTACGTACGGTGATGGTTTTAATCCCGGTACGTTAGACTTAATCCGGCAATCACGGACGAACCTACACACACGTACGAGTGAATGAGAGACCAGAGAAGGAATATCCAGTTGATTTACCGACTCAGCTCCGCCGCTGTCGTGGAAACGGTCCGATGGGATTAAGCGTGAAAAGGGCAGCGCCGAGTAGCCGACGGTAACACGCGTTTCCACTTAGTCCTTCGTTCCCCCGGAGTACTCCGAAAACCCTTTCGTTGCTATTTAGCGACTCAGTGACGAGCATCGATCACGTGTCGATGAGGTGACCCCTCGGTTTGTCGTTTTGTCACGACGGTGCGACTATAGTCGCAAATAGTCCCCCGTCGGCGTGTAAACTCCGTATCGGTTAATCGTAAATACATCGTAAATACAACGCGAGTAGGGACATAGTACAGGATAGCCAAGTATTACTTGGCAAATAAAATTTGCATCGTAGTGGAAAGGGGGTCGCGCGTCGCGTCTAGCTGTACTCGTGCAGCAACGAGGAAGTTGTTCGCTCGAACAAGTGCAGGAGGAAATTCAGATTTAATTAGGTGTCGGCTGGCGAGCTTACACGGTCGAGGATTATGAATGAAGTGTCACGTTTCCAGCTGAAAATAGCCGCTCGAATCGACCGTTTTAGCCGCCACGGAATTAACCTCTTTTTCGTTTAATTCGTAATAAGCGTGATATGTCGCGCGGGTCCCGGAAGGAGAGAGAGAGGTCAATTCTCTCTTTCTCTCTCTCTCTCTCTCTCTCTCAACGAACACGTAACAACGCGGGACCAGGCTGTATTCTCCCTCACTCGTTGTGTTTTCGGCGCGCGGACTCGATTTTCGCCAGACGGTTCTGCCGCTCTCGGTTTTCTGGGACGGCACGATTTTAAACCGATTACGCTTTCCTCTCACGGGGGCCTAACGGCCTCGTTCGTTTAAATGCCCCCGCGACTCGACGAGAATAATTAACTGCAGGAGGATCGCGTACAGATGGCGACGATACCGGGGCCCTCGGTATTTACGGGATTCCTGCGACTTGTAGAATCACCGAGACAAGCTCTCCCCCTTCGCTACTTTCTCGTAGATCCTTTCGCGAGTCATCGAAATTATCGACGATCGTAAAATCCTTCTTTCTTGCAACGGTATAAATTTTATTCGCCACTGATCATGGGAAGTCTAGATTCGCGAAGATAAAAAAAAAAAAAAAAGAAAGGAATAAAAATAGAACACACAGAGATCACGCCACGACCAGTATATATCTCGCAGTAGAATGTAACAGTCCCGAAGCGTTTCCTGCGAATCTAGGACCAGTAGAGGAGGCTATAAGAACTATCTGTTTACGCACAACACCGTTACGAGCCAAGGAATCTCGACTCTGCAGCTTCGTTGGCCGATTTTTATTGCGCCGTCGCTTTAATTACCGGGGAGGAACGATAATTGCCCTTAACACGCTCGATCGGAGCTTTGTTCGGGGCCGACGTTTCTCGAGCGACGCTGATCGGTTCAAAGCATCTTCTTCGGTTCACTCGCCCGTTCTTTCGCCACCCTCTGGATTCATAAATTAATTAACGCGACTACGGATGAACGGTCTTCAACGACGAAGCTCGCGAAACGAAAAGATTTTCTGAAGCAAGCAGGGGTGAGGATTCGATCGTAAAATATTTCACCGACCGGTATCACATCGTGTCCTCGTTCAATCACGTCCGACGATTTACGCGCGAGTGTTTCGAGCTATCCGCTCGAAAATAGGAGCGAGCACCGTGCATTCCACATTGTCTTGGTTTTACGATTCCTCACAGCCAAGGTCGTTACGAAATGGTCACAGGCTCGAGCCTGCTTTCCAGTCGTGTCTCGAAACCGCGGCTAATTATATATTTCTCCGCGGTGACACGCTTCTTCTTCGAAACCCCCGACGAAGGAGGTTGGCTTCCAACTTTTCCACGCGCTTCCCAACGAATTTTAAATTGCCGACATCTTTGAGATATCACATATGGTTACGCACGTGTATAAAGAAATGAAGATTTGAATATGTATTCCTTTTTTTTTATATATATATATAAAATAACACTGAGATACTATCGATTTTGGACACTAGTTTCACCAAATCATATCAATCCACTGACCGACACTGTACGAACAACGAGAGAAACTTGGACGAAAGGTACTGACAAAGAACACGGAAAGGAGAAGAGTGGTTGAATCTGGAAGCGCGAGTCCAGTCGGAGAGGTTGCAGTCGCTGTTGCGACGCTTCACCGAGCGGCACAACAGACGTGTTTTGACTAGGTGGTTATACCGCACTCTCACCAGGGATCCACGGTACTCGCGCCTCTTCTCCACCGGCTCCGCCGCCGGAGACTTTATATTTAGATGTACGTACACGCGACACGCTTTATTCCCAACGATGTGTTGGCGCTAACAAGTCTACACCGTGCTTGCTCCCATATTGCCATGCTCCACCCACGCTCTCTCGCTAATCCTCTCCGCGGCGCGCGTACGCGACTCTATTCGCGCGCGTGGCCAACGATACTTCGCGATCGTCCGATCGCCGAGACGAACCCCGCCTGGCTTTGCTTTGCGCGATATCGTCCAAGCGTCGCGACCAAACTGGCCGATCCCCGACGATGCACGCGCCTGCACAACAGGAGAATATCGGTAACGCGATCCGGCTTCGATTACTACGATTATTTTTCCCCAGGAGGTGAAAGGGGAAAGCGAGTTCTCCGCGAGTTTCGCGGCAAAGTGGAATTCGGAGCAAAGAGGAAACTCTCTTTCTATCTCCTGTCTTTCATCGTGCAATCGGAAATTACGCACTCGTTGATACTACCTACTGACAGCGGGGCTTGCGAAATATTCGAACGTTTATACACGCAGCTTTTTATGACGGTAATACGTTCGTTGCAGGGGGCACTTTGAAATTTCATTAGCAGCGAGACACGGACGCCCGTTGTGACTGTTATTGGCAAAATCTGATAACGCGAATCTGAATAATGGAAATAATAGCCTACAGAAGTTTCCATAGCTTTCACAACCGAAAAAGTCATTCCAATTGATAAAACCTTCGAATTTGGTCGTTTTGTCCGCTTTACACTGGGTAATTCGGCCGTTAAAGCGCTTAATTCCCTTGTCTGCAGTTTAACGAGTTAATTATTACGTATCACTAATCTTCCTCTCCGAAACCCGTTTCGAATCAGAAATCTGGTATCCCGGAGCGACACAGTTTCACGACCAGAGTGCGTCCATCGCGTTGTCTATTCGCGCTAACTCCTCGCCAGTCCATTCTCCGCCTACGCTTTCGCTCGCTCCATACTCGCACGACCGTGTTTGTACATGTACGTGCTCTCACGTAGGTGCGTGTGCGTGTGCGTATATATACGCGGCCACGTGCGTGCGATACGAGCACGTCCATCGGTCTCTCTCTCACACTCTCTCTTCGGCGTGACACGGATCAGCGGACTCTCAGCTCCACATGTGTGCACCACGCTCATACATATTCATCGACGCGCGCGTAATCTGCTTAACGTAGGTGCGAGGCGCGCGTCGGACCTTCGATTTGTAACGTAGACGGATATCCGCGTTATCAAGTTAGGTAGGTGTACATCGGCCGATATCTAGCCCGTAATTTGCCGATCGACGAAACCCAGGATAATTTCATTACAAAGTGGATGCGACCAGCCGTGAAAGGGCCGTACCCTCTCCGCAGGTCGTAACCCCGTTACGTGCGAAGAAAAAGGAACGCGTCCGACGATTGGAATTTATTCGACGTAATTGGCCCTTTTTCCGGGTCAAAGGCCGGGATTTCGACGGCCGTTGGGGAATATTTTACGGCGAAAATGATACGATACAGGAGAGTCGATGCGATTTACAAGCACATACATATAAAGCAGGGATTTTTACGCTTATTGCACACTGAAGAAGTGAAATCTAAATTTCGACCCTCTCTCGTACGGATCCATTCGAAAAAGTAACGAATATAGAAAACTATTTGCACGTTACATTTTAAATTCATCAGATCCAAAATGAAACTCTGCGCCACTTTCACGTAAAATACTGAAAAGATCAGAAAATGAAGGTGAGACGTGAAGCTCGATAGAAGAGCGTGCGTGCAAATATTTTTACAACGAAAGTGGATCTGGTTTAATTTGTCGGGGAATCACATATGTACATATATCCGTGCTCTAATTTTATTGCGCGTTTAAAACGGACGAACGTCCGCCACTGTTCAGCCACTCTTCGTGAGCGGCGAGTTTCTCAAAAACAAGAATCAAACAGTAATCACGGTGAAATGTATCCTCCGTTTCATCAAACGGGGCGCAGAGCTTCCCTTTCAATGAAATTTAATGCATTGGGAACAACGATCGAGCTCATCTCCAACCTCGTTGCGAAGTTCGCCAACTTTTCGATCGGGCGCGCGGGGAACGAAGCGAAAGAGCCGTTCGGCTCTCTCCATATGGAACGAGTATACGGTGTGTGCGGGATATATCCTACAGAGAGCTTTGAAACGAGCGATACACGTTATGGCGATCGCGATGCACGACGCCGGAGTTGTTGCGCGTCGGTTCTCTCTGTCTCTCTTTCTCTCTCTTTCTCTCTGCCTATGCACGCTCGTTTCCTAGTACTTTATCTCGAGCGGGTATCGGCATACGGCGTGCATTATAGCACGTGTGGGTACGCTCAAAACCGAATGCCAGCAGCCGTGCCACGAAAGCCACGAGAGCCACGAGAGCCACGTTAGCCACGTTAGCCACGTTCGGCGAGAGTGGCCTCTCTTCTGCGGCTGCCGGAACACATCACGAAACTCTACCGACTCTCCTCTGTTCCTGTTGTCATTAACGGCAAAATTCCGCTTCGTATTCCGCCGGTATACAACGCGCGATCATCCACGTTCGACGTCGTGGCCCCATCGTCGTTTCCCCCGCGGCCAAGTGTTCCCACTCTGCGGGGCAGCATAAATTTCCCCAAGCTGTCGCGTCTGTGCTCTCGCCGCTGAATCGAGTTTTACAAGCGGTCCATGCATCGGCGCTTTGTTACGTCGAAATTCCGCTCTTCTCTGCTCTTTCGCAGCAAGGGTCATGTTCAATATTCCCGAGACAGGAATCGAGCGGAGGTGATTAACGAGATCAATTTGCTCGATCCGGGTGACGCGAGCACGGAACGAAAGGGAATTTTATCGAATTTTTCTTTAACTCTGCCGCGAGCGTTAGTAAATCTAACGACGATTAAAGTTAAACCCCTCGATTGATCAAAGTCCCTGCAATCGCAAATGGATATATACTCTTGCTGCTTTCTTTTTTCCTCCTTCTCCTCGAGAATATACTCCGCGATCGGTATACTACACTGACAAACACGAGATATCGCAGCTTTTTCGTCCCAGGGTACGAACCAGAGCTTCTGGACAGTGTCAGTCTATTCTGAAAGGCACTGTAGCCACTGAGGACAAGGAAGGCTTTCAGGCCGCACGATGAAACGCAGAGAGTCAATGACAGGGGAACCCTTCGCTCGTTCCCTCTTCTCTTTCTTCCTCACCCACCGACCTTTCTCCCTCCCTCCACCCCTCACCCGTGAGTCTCCGTGCACTTTGCACTTTGCACTCTCCTGTTTCTGCCACGGGACGATATACAGTTCCAACTTTCTACGCTCTACATGCAGCTTCATCGCGTTTCTTCAACGTGTTATCCCGTTTAAAATCCATTCCCCCTTACATTCACGGTGAGAAACTCTCGCGCAATTTACCGCTCGTACACACACGGCTCGGGAATGGCCGTGCAGACGCGTTAACTCGCCTCTCCCCTTCGCCGTGTACACACGATCCCCTTTTCGGGGAGGCACGCTTCGTTAAACTGGAGCCGTGGAAAATGCCCCGAAAGCAGACACACGGAGGGAAAGAGTAACTCGAGAGAGTCTAAGAACGACGAACGGAACGAGGCGACGCGAGGAATTCTCGCGTAATCACGCACGAAAATACTAGTGGGACTAGGAACGCCATGTAGAAACCACCTCCTTAATTAAAAGAAACTTCCATTTCTTTTTTTCTCGCGATTCTCGTGACAAGTATCTTAGAAAAACTCGTCTCGATTTAGAGAGATAACGCGAAAGATGTGGAGTTTTGATACGCACGTTGTAGAATCAACACTGAATTTGCAGTGAATAGGCTGTTACGTTGTAATGGTGTAATTAACACTAGAACTGCCGACAACTAAAATATAAGATTGTACAATCAAATTGTACAAATTAGAGCAAAATGAGCAGCAAAGTTCATAATACGATGGACAAAGGACACAAATGTATTTGTATTTTATATGTATATGTATTTTATAAAAATTATCCAAACCACTGAAAATACAACGTTGTAAATATGTAGAATTATACTTTGAAGAATTATGAATCAACCATTTTCACCAGTTTGGTAGTTTTAGTGTTAGAAAATTATATTGTGTAATTTTACAGAACTTTTATTCGAACAAGACGAACTTATTGATGTAGAAATATTGCAATACCATATTACACTTACTGTGGATCTTTTCTGTCGCGCTTATATAATCTTTTCAACTCGTACTTTCCCTGGTTCCCTGGCCAAATATGATTAATACCTAACAACGCGACAAATTCTCTTGGACGTTTCGGGAAAGAACTGATTAGAGAGCAAACGAGAGAACGAAAGAGACCAAAGAACAGAAGTGGAACGAAAGAGGTCAAAGATGCGAGAAAGTATGTGGGTTGAGTCTGCGCCGGTGTGCTTCCCAAACTGTGCCTCAAACCTAAATGAGCCAACGATAACGCTCGTAGTCCTCGCCGACATGTGTTGTCATTTATCACGCGGTACGCGAGATTAAATTACGAGCCGCTCCCTCCCCTTGGTAGTAATTATGATTAATACGAGGTTGATGAAGAAACGTAGACCGACTGATTGCGAGTCTGGCTACTCTGATATTGTTCCACTTGTAGATGCAATGAAGTCACAACTAAAGCGATACGCCGAAGACC